GATTCTATGATTCTATGACTGAGACTGATGATGCGTGTCCTGTTTTCCTGCCACTCTGTTTAGAAATAGCGTTACCTGCTCCTCCACGCCAATATCTTCCTCTTTCCTGCCCAGGAGAATTTGATGCAGAGTGGGAATGGGAAGGAAATGCTCTGTATGTTGATGGTTCTAGTCTCCGGGCCTCGTTGCTCTAGCTGATGACATGTAATCATGAATGAGCTTAGGTTGAAGGCTCTGGCGTGCCATGGCAGACTGGTGCTTCCCTGGACAGTTACAGAGCGCTCTGTTCCCTGTGTAGTTTGTGTACCCAGGTGTGCTGGCAGGACGTGGCCTCCTGTCTTACCTTGCCTCTCCTTCTTGTTGAATCCCGCTCCTGCCGCTGCTGCAGATTGCTTCTCTTCCCTGAGGATCGCTTCTCCCCTTGACCTGATGGGTGACTGCAACAGGAATTCAGGCAGGATGGAAGATTTGTAGGCTCCCCTTGGGAGTGAATGCCAGGATGCCTCATCTCTGGAGTGGGACTCAGTAGGAGCTAGAGGCTTTTAACCTAGCAATCAAGTGCAGATCTGCTCTGCAGCCAGGAGTTGTTGCGGGATGAGGTGCTGTTAAGGAATACACAGGATTTACCCTGTATGTTTGAGCTGGCTACTCTTAAGTCTGCGACAAAGCCTGAATGTGGGTGAGTAATGCTGGAGGTGTTCTCTGGCATTAGCAGCAGCTTTAGGCAAAGTGAACTTGGGCTGATGGGCATAAGTGAAAGGGTCTTTTGGGGGCCGAGGGCCCAGGAGGGACAAGGAAGTAATGGGGATAACACATCCTCTAGATAATGTCAGGCCATCCTGTGTCTTACCTAAGCAAGCACTTAGAAGATGCTGTTACCATGCATGGACCATGTTTTCAGAGACACCCTTACATTAGCCAGGGATTTGGGAGGGCTCATCTGAGCTCCCCAGATGGGGGGCCTTGCTTGCTTGTTGGGAAATACCGTATGCCCATTGATATCAGATCTGAAAAGTGTCTGCACGGGACAAGGAAGGCAGCAAGTTCATTTAAAATTTTGGCTTTCTTGCTTTAAGGCAGTGTGCTTTGTGTCTGCTTAGCTTGAGAGACCCTTGACATCAGGGGAGCTTTTCCCTTAAAAGAGCCAAAGACACTTTGGAGCAGCCTTGAGGGCTGAAGAGAGCTGGGCTTTTGGGCTCTGTGGCCCCAGGTATATAATATATAACTTTTCTTGGCTGTTGGCTCCCTTTTTCCAGGGAGAGAAAGGAGCTGGCATGGCCTTGGCTCCATCTTGCTCTGCTGCAGCTCGAGGGGCTGCGAGTGATGTGCAAGCCTTATGGCGAGGCAGCAGGGCTGCGTGAGCGTGGTGGGGAGCGGCTCTCCCTGCTCCCCTCTCTGCTGTGGCTTGTTCAAAGCAGCACCGTTGGCTCCAGGAAAATGCCTTGCCTCCAGCATTGCAGTGGAAGAGCTTGATGTGGGGGTGGGATAGGAGAAAGGTGCCCTGAGATTTCTGGGGCTTGCAAATGTGTTGGAGGGACTGCTCCCAAGAACAAGATGGGTGTGTGCAAGCCACAGGAGCTGGGGTGGGGTATGTGAAAGACGGTGTCTCAAGGGATGTGGGGAGTCCCAGTGGAGAGGGGAAACTCATTGCTGCGACTGGCAGCAAGGACGGATGGGCTCTTCACAAATAATGTGGAGTGCCCTAGAATGGTCCTGACCCAAGTAGGGCCTTAAAGCTCTCGAGGGAACTCTGTATTTCCTTCTCTCCCACCTCAGCACTATTACAGAGTGGAGATTACTCCTTGTGTTGCCAAATCTCTTAGAAATGCATTCTTATTTTCATCAGCTCCCCTTCCCTTAGTTAGACTACTTAAGAGGCTTTTGTTCCTTAATTATGTATGCATGCATGTGCACCTCTCCCATCCCTTATGGCCACAGCAAGTACCTGTCCTTTCCCAAAGACCCCAAAGCAACCTTCAGCAGCCACCCGGGCTTCATGCAACCGTCATCCAGAGAGGGAAACTCTGCCAGGGGATCTGCACTGCCTTCCTGAACTGTGCCTCTGGATTTGTTAGGTGTGAGTCTGTGCCTTTGAAAGGCTTTGAGCCGTTCCAGCGCTCAGTAAATGTGGTTGAATTTGCAGTAAATGTAGTTGAAATGAAGGCGGTAACGGTTTTCCCCCTTGGAGCGGACCTCTGTGGCACCCTGCTGCGCTCTCCCCAGGGCAGGAGCCTGAGTGCTCGCTGCCTGCTGTGGGACCTGATGTGTTAGTAGTTAAGTGCTTTCATCTGCATGGGAGGTCACAGATAACTGAGGTTCAGGTCACCTAGTGTTTGTGTGCCTTGTGTCGAATTTCTCGGAGTAAGTCAGGCAAGTCAGCACTGGGGATTTTGGCCCCCTCTTATTTCCTTTCCAGAGCTGGATTTAAAAACATGTGCATGGGGATCTGCTTGTTAGAGCATCCTATGCACGTTTGCCACAGGGGACCCTGGATAAACAGCCCTTGCAGTGACACTTCTCCCTTTTGTGTTTCTGGAAAGCAGACAGCGCGTGCAGGGCGAGCCGGGGGTTTCAAAGCCCCTGTGAATTGGGGGCTGAAGCTGGACTCAGACCTGAACAATGGCGCGTTCAGCGGCTGACACGGTTCCCTTCTCGGCTCAGGGTTGTGCTGACAGGTCGTAAATGAAGCCCGCTCCAAGAGATTTGTTTGGTTTTTCTCTGCTCTCACCCACCTTTGAGCTCCTGGGGTTTATCTCTCTGTGTTTTGTTTGCAGGTCTGACTGCCTCGTTAAAACAATTCGGTCAGAAGGCTACTTTGGCATGTACAGAGGTAAGTAAAGCTGAATCAGGCATGGCACAGCTTTTGTGTGGGAAGCACTGGTGCGTACAGGGGAGGAAAAGCCCGCATTCTCTGGCTTGTAAAGCAACAACCTAGCAATATCTTAAGATGCTGAAAGGTGCAGCTGTTTCTGAAAATGAGCTCCTCCACACCAGGTGTCTGCTCAGTACTCCATCATTTAGGGCTTGAGTCTTCCCTGCAGCTGTTTTGGTGTTAAACCTTACGCTTACCGAGGTTCATCTTTACTAGCAGTTTAAGTGAAGCTGCTGGACTTTGTTTCAGGACTGTATGTGTGTGTTTCCCAACTTGGACATGGTAACTTTTGTCAGAGGGGCACTAGCAAACCTCTTGAAGTGTCTTACTTTGTGGTTAATGATTGAATTTGCGTCAAAGCCCACCACCAACGTGGTCAGGCCTGCTGCCCCATCTAGTTGGTAGCTTGTCTCCAAAACTAGCTGTTTCTCAAGTATGCCCGAGTGCTTTGTTCAAGCATTAAGACAAGCTGCAATTAAAAAAAAAAAAAAAAGGAAAAATAACCTGGCTCCAGAAAAAACTCCCTTGGGATGGTAGGAATATCAGACGTTGGCTCATGGTGGAGCTTCAGCTGTTTGGTCGTTGTGTGCTACCCTGCTAGAAATCTTCTGGCTCCTTAGCTTAGGCTGTCTGCTGCAGCAGTGTGTTCCTCAGTTGATGTTATAGCTTTTCTAGTTTCAACACAAAATCCTTGACAGTTTTTAAAGATTTTTGAGGAGAGAGGAACATCAGGCCAAATTCTGCCTTTACTTGTAGCAGAGGAAAATGTGGAATACCTTCTTGGCTTTCAGCACAATTGACTTAGCCGACACCAAACTCTGATTCATTTTATATACTGGTATTCAATTGCCTGATTATGCAGCTTTTATCGCTGAGGTGTTCAGATAGCATTCTTTGTGGCACTCATTCACTGATAAGGTCTGATTAAAGTACTGCTTTGATTAAGTGGGTCCTTGCCCTTTGTTTTTTCAAGCGGGAGCCCAGAGATGCTGGTGCCTTGCTGTTGGCAGCAGTAGCGTCTCTTGCCACTTCTTCCGTAGCTCCTAAGGAGACACAGACGCCATGGCCATCCGTCCTGGGAACAGGCACTGGCTGTTGAGGCAGCGTCTGTTGCCCAACTTGCTGGTGGGCGTTTTGGGGGAGTGGGCTAGATGCTGAGGATGGATTGGCTGCTTCTTGCCAGCTTTCCTGGGAGCAGGCAACAAGACAAATAACCCTGAGGAACCCTGGCCAGCTCTAGCTTCAGTGATAGCAGTGACGTGTTCCCCTTCGATTTTTCCCAGAAACTGCCTGCTTCTGTGTTCCTAACCAGGAATGGAGCCTGTGTTAACTTTGGCTGTAAATACGCAGTGGCAGGCTGCTGAGTGGGGAGCAGAAAGAAGCAGCTGTTCGTGGAAATTTACAGGGGAGACTGTAGGACCTGTCAGAGGTTTTGGGAGAGACAGCTCAGTGCTGTAAGGTGTGGAGTGGTAGAGGCGATATGCCTCCCCAGGCCACTTTTTGTTCCCAGGCAGAAGTCTGAAAGGGTGCAGAGGGTTTCGCATAGCTCTTGCTGTTCCCAACCATAATGAGTCTGGTCAGCTCAGAGCATGTCTCACTAACTTTGTACCCACTCTGTTCAGGGAGCTGATAGTGGCTTGAATTTACTTGTCACCTCTGACTATTAAATGAGGAACTGGATTTGGAGAGGGCTTTTGTGAATAGCTCCAGCTCCTTCCAGAAATTCATGGATATTTTAGCATGGCCGGGGTGCAAAAGTGAGTCCTCCACATACAGCAATCCTGGTCTCTGTGCCTCAGTTCCATGAGCTGACATTAGCAGCCCTTCCCTCCCTCTCAGGTTGAGGACGAGCAGGTAAAATACATCACAAGATCTGTGAAGAATGTGAGTACTTTTCTGGGAACAAGGTAAAGAGACAATTCAGCCTTGCAGACAGGGGAAGGTGGAAATCAGATGGTGGGATTGGTTCCTGCCTGTCTATCTGTCCCAGTTCCGCAGCAGAAGTTGCTGTATGACTCACAAGCTCTTATTTTCAGCCTTTAAGCTGAAATCAGGAGGATTATATCTTAATGTGCTAAAGTGGCAGCTGTTGTGCCCCATGGAGGAGTCACAAGCACGTCGGTCGTCCCTGCAGGACACTTGGCCTCTGTCAGAGGACAGAAAGGGTCTGCTTGGATGCAGCCGTTCCCACTGAGTGACTTCATGTCTCCTTCTCAGTGCAGACAGGAGAGGCTTGAGCTTGTAGGATGCTTTTCTGCAAATCGTCTCTTGAGAGGTGCATGTGGACCGACTGTCCTGGTGCTGTATGAGTAGCCTGTAGTGAATTGTGTGATGTATAAGGTAATCCCAACATTTCTCACAAGTTCTTCCCTTGAATTACAGAGATTCTTGGATTTGTTTGGGGGAGGAAGAAAAAGAGTTTTTTTTCCTCATATTTTTCCCGTAACATCCAGGTAGCAGCAGTGCCTCAAAGCTGGGTGATGCCATCTAGCCCTGCCTGTGCTCAAGGGATGATGGTGTGCCACCTTCAGACATGATGCCAAGCAAATGAATCCATGGTGCATGTGGGCTTCTGGACCGTGTGGATGCCAGTGGAAGGGGACATCGGAGAGGTGCTCTCTCCATTCCCTGCTACAGTCCGTCCGGAAGCCACCTGTGGATCCCAGCACACATCTTGGGAAGTCCCACTCTTTTGCAGACCAGGAGTTCAGCCTAGCTGATGGGAGCCAAAGCCCCAGCTCAGGCTGGGGAAATGCCCTTTGCTGTCGATGACGTTTGGAGGGTAGCTGCAGCTCAGCCACAGGAGCGTGGCCACCTTCCCTGGCCTCTGCCAATAACACCTCCCACGCGCTAGTGCTGCACTGGGAATGATTTAATCCCTCTGTTATGTAGGTTGCTGGGGGTATACAAGGGTTTCTGTGAGAAATGTGTTTTAAGAACAAAACCCAAGGCTTAGTGAGAAGACAGCACTTAGAAGTTCAGTTGGCAAACAACTGGTTTTGCCTCTACTTGATTTTCATTTTTTGTAGTGCTTCCATATTTCTTTTCAAAATACTTTTCTGTTTTTTAATGATTGCAATTTCTTTTTGCATTCTGTCTGTCTGTCATTGCTTCTGGTACATGTAGCGTTGCCTGTAGGCCAAGGTTAGCTTTAATTAGGGAAACAGAGTAATTGACATAGCTAGAATTGAAGAGCCATGAGATTTTGTAAAAAGGTAGAAAATGCCATGGAAAGTACAGCCAGCAGCTGAAGTATCTAATTTACCCTCCTCCAGTGAATTGGAGCTGTTATGGATTATTGAGGACAGGGATTATCCATTCTCTGCTAAGCAGCTTTACTGAAAATATCAAAGATGGAGGAAAAAACCCAGGTTCATTAACTTTTCTCTGCATGTTGTGTGTTTTTACCCTCTACTTTATTTGCAATTGAAGGAGAAATTGCTGTGAAAGCCTCTTAGTTCCTGGAGGAGGTCAGCACATGGAAGCATACTTCTTGCTTGCCTTTCTTGCTTGATGGTTTGAAGTTTGTCTTCCTTCTTTCAGTGAACCCTTTGTACTGGTGTTAGAGTAGTGGGTCTATTCTTTTTTCTTTCTCTGTTTTTCCAAAGAAATGGTTATTCATGCTCCATGTCAGTAATGTACAGGTGTTTTACTTTCTAGCCATTAGGCGTGGGATTGAAGTTGTCTTCAACTTGGAATTCGAGGAAGCACTTCACAGGTAGCCACTTCCACTTAAAAATCAGGCTGTGTGGATTTGCTTTGTAGATCCTGATATGATTGACATTAAAAGGTAGAGCATGAGAGTCGTCTCTGTGTGGCTTCTCATCGCATGCAAGAGCCATGGCAGGGGGGCATGATGTGTAGGAAGCACATCAAACTGCAGCAGCACAATCACTGGTACACCTAAAAGTTTGTGAAAACCCAGAGTGTGAGAGGGCTGCCCTGCTCCCTGGATGGTTAATTTGGCTCCTGTAGAAGATGGTGGCATTTTTTGGATGTCATGCCCAGTGTGGAACGAATGCATTGGCTTAGCTTGCTGCGAGGCAGTGTTGCTCTGTATTTTCTGCAAAATCTGAACATGGCAGTTGGAAGAAGGGAAAATGTGTTGGGTTGCCCAGCCCTGCCCAGCAAAGGCTTTCTGTTTTCTTGCTGTGGTTTCCTGCATGATGGAGATATGTCCTCTGAGCAGAGGATGTGGTGCCGAGGATTCCTGTGTCCTGGTCCCAGCTGTACTGGTCCCAGAAGTCCCAGTTGTGACTTTGCTTCTTAATCTGAGGAAAGTACTCCTAAACCTATGTCTTTCCATGTCTAGTTTAGGAGTTCTTTAATAATTTTTGGAGGGAGGGGAGTCCATCCTGAGGAGCAGAGGATTGAGTTGCCTTTCTTTAGGTTTGTTGAGCACCTGTCAACTTGTGTTCAAACCTCCTGAAAAGGAGCTCTTCCAGGTCTTCAGAGCCTAGTAGGAGCGCAGGCTTCTCTCTCTGCTTCTCTTTGGAAAACAGAGCTTTGGGACAAGTTGTTTAAATCTCTACAGCAAGCATAAATGCAAAAAGTATACGCTAGTATTCATGTTTGTCCTTCCAAAGATGCTCATAGGCCATTAGCACGTCTCAAGTGAAGCTCCTCTGGAAGGCTTGGAGTTCAGTATGCTTCAGTGCAGGCAGGGAGAGCGTGCGGTCATCCGCTGGAGGACTTCCTGAGCCATAAGAATTAAAGGGAGGAGAATGTTCTGGAGCATTAATCTAATGGTGCTCAGAAGGGGTTGGCCTTCCCCTCACCCCGTTTCCCCCAGGGCAGCTTTCAAGCTGCCTCCCAGCTGCTGTGTTGCTCTAATGCTGGTGTCCCACCAGGCCATGCAGACCTTTCATGCTCAACACAGGGATTTGCTGTTTGTTGCTCCTGACAAAAGGGCACTCCAGTGACTGGGGGGGAAGCCAAGGCTTGTTCACATGCCAGGTTCCCCAACAAGCCTTGCGGTGGTGCTCGGAGGGGAAGTTCTGCATCATGCAGCTTGTGGTGGACAAAAAGCCACTCAACGGTGGCTGTTCTGAGAGTGACACCCAGTGGTGATAGACAAGGGGTTGATCTGGAGCTGGCTGACTTCTGTACAGATGAGCCAGTTGACTTCAACCAGCCTCCAGGTCTTCCAATGGTTCTGCCTTTTCTGGGCTGCACGGTAAGCAAGCTGTTCTGCTTTTGGTGGTGGTGGGGCAGGGACACTAGCAAGAAGGTGGAGCCGGGGGGCTTTTGCTTCTCAGCATCACAAAATATTTGCAAAGGAGTTGGGACTGGTTATTAATTCAACTTGTACTCCTTTTTTGAAGGTCTAATCTGCATCCTTCTGGATTCATAGGAATGCATCCTTGGATGAGAGAAGAGGATGCATGTATGCATGGTGGGAGGTAGTAGTGAAGCTACTAAGAAATTACAAAAAACATATTGCAACTAGAGTAGAAACACATCAGGGGATGTTTTCAAAAACACAAGGTGTTGGGAGGCAGAAATCCTATTAATTTCCGATGGTGTTTCATGTTTCTAAACCTTTTTGGTGTATTGGGAGCTCTCCTTCACCAGTTGTTGGTTTTGAGAAGGAGTTACAACACATTCCTGAAAGATCCGGTTAATGATTCCTTTATTCTCCTTCTCCAATGGCTTTTTTCCCTTTTCCTTGCCCAGGGGCTGCAGTGAACCTGACTCTAGTGACACCAGAAAAGGCTATCAAACTGGCAGCCAATGACTTCTTCCGGCATCACCTCTCCAAAGACGGGTGAGTAGAGGGTGCAGTTCTTTCGTGTTCAGCTCAGCTTCAAAGATACCAGCTCTTGGGACAAGTCTGGTGAGATGTCAGGGCAAAGGTGGAACGGGGTGATGTGATGACTGAAATATGAGTTGACCTTGAGCAGCTCAGCTGGCGATTACGTTCAGGCTAAGGATGTAATGTCTAAAATGGGAAGTGAAAAGCACTCCACTTGGATGACTGCTTTTTATTCAAGCTTCTAAAAATAGTGCCAGATCTAAGCCACGGTTAGCAGATCCAGAATTTGTAGGCAAAATATTTGAGAGGAACCCAATGGCACTGATCACTGCTCAAACAGCTGCTGGGAGGACCCTTGTCCTCAGCATCCTATTGGATACTGTTGTGCTCTTTTGGCTTGAACAGATGGCAAGTCAAGTTCTGTAGACCCTAAACTTAGCATTCCTCTTGTCCTTTTGTAGCTTGAAAATAGTTTTAGAGAGGTGGTGAACCTGAATTAACAAAAGGTATTTGCAGCATTGCCCAGCAGCTGACCTGCACATAAATGCTGAAGGAGTAAAATGATCTGTTTAGCTTGCAAGTGGTTCGTGTGAATTAACGTGAGTGAGAGGTGCTAGCTGGGAGGGGCTGGGCCCTGAATAGTTAATGCTGTTTTCACTGAGATATTTCCCTTGCAATTTGGAGAACACTTGTGTCTCCCTTCAGAGCGAGACCTTTCTCCAGAGACCGCCAGTGAAGGGCACTGTCTCCAGGCCTCAGTTACAGTAGTTAGAAACCTGCCTGCTGGGGGTAGGATCCTGACTCTTCCCATCAGCAGTGATGGGGTGAAGCCTCACTGAAGACACAAAGCTCTGCCGCGATTACTCGGCATAACAGCTTCCCATAACGTACCGTGTCAGTCTCGGCTGCTGCAGACCAGTGCCTCATAGCTTCACTGGAGATTGTGGACTGACACAGGTTGAGGATCTAGTTTTTTCATATACCTAATTTTTTTTGTTCTGGAGTCTTCTGAAGTAGCAGCTAACATATGTCTGTGTGACTCATTGGCTCACAGCTGTTTGTGATTTTCTCTCTCTTCAGATAGTGTCTCTTCTGTGCTCTGCTCAGACAGTGGGAGGTAATGATGTCCTCGTTGCTCCTTGCTTCTGCCAAGCGGTGGGTCTGAGCCATGCAGCACACAACTCGGCAGGCCCTGGCGTACTGCAGTAGACAGGAGCACAGCTAGCTTTGCCATCACCTACAAAGTGAGGCCTTAGTAGGTTGCACAGGGAGGATGAAAGGGTGCCAAGCTGCCATGCCTTGTACCACCACTGAGAGAGTGACCCATGGAAGAAATCACACCAGCATTGCAACCTATTCGGTGTTCTGTGAGAGCAATCACTGCTGTGACGTTTCAGCTGTTAAAACATGACATGCCTGTCTGCCGATGTCCTGCACCATGAGGGGTCAAGACTTCTTCGTGGGACAGATGTGTGTGTCTGCCTCTCAATACTGAGACAGGCTTTGAGCAGGTGTTTGGGGAAGTGGGATGCAGCTGAGGTCTTCGTCCAGAGCTGTTCCAGCTTGACTTCTGAGTTCTTGGCTTATCCTCATGTAATGTGGATGATGTGCTGTGCTTGATTCAGAATAAAGCAGCTAGAGAGTTTTACCAAGGGTAAGGCACCCTGTTCTCCTAAAACATATGCACTGATGGGACTGGCACTACAGTGACCTGGAGCAGGAGCTTGGTACGACTCGGATAGAGGAGAGCCTTTATATCTCGACACAAAACATTTTTAACTCCTTTAGAGAAAAGAAAGGTTGTGCCACAGTTAGGTGACAAGAGCTAGATAGCATGTGGAGTTGGTGGCACTCATGTCATTCTTCCACCGTGAGGGGCTTGGATGAATGAAATCTGGTCAGCTCCACTCATGAGGATAGCCAGCATGCGCTGGACAGTGGGGCAGAGCCTTGATACTGCTGTGATAGATGGTTTAAAATGTTTCTAACTAGAAATGTTTCTAACTAGAAATGTTTCTCCAAGATGAAAATGCCTTGTGAGTTGGCTGTGGCTGGTTTGGGCTATGAACCTGGGATCTAGCTGGAAGGTCTGATGCGTGCTGTGAACTTGCTTGGTGCATGGGGAGCAAGGGGTGATGGAAAAGGCCGTGACATTATCGATGAGAATAAGAGCCCTCAGAAACTGCAGGGCAGCTGCTTATCGTGGGATCCTTTTCCTCCATGCTAGGGAAATCCCAGGCCTGGGGATGGAGTATGTGACCTGCCAGAGGGGTTGTTCCTGGCTGTGCTGCAGTTGTTGCATGCTACCTTGCCTTTGGCAGTTCATGGGATCTTTTCCCCTATGTAGCACACGTGGCAAATAGGGGCAATGGCAAGGGGCCGTTTTCACTGAGTCACAAAGCTGTGTGTCCCTCAAGGGTTTGCCTTACTCTTGCTCCCTCTTTCCAAGCTGTGTGCGATCTGCAGGTTTCTCCCTTTCTCCCCTCTGCCTCACTTGTCTTTGTAAGACAGGGCAGGATTAGTGATACTGAAATCCAAACACCTCTCCTACCCAGGGCAAAACAGGGTACATACCTGCTAGCACATAGCAAGGTTGGGCCACCTATTTCACAACTTCAGTCAAAGCCCAGGTATGAACAACAAAATAGCCTGGGGTTAGAAAGGTGAAGGTTCAAGCTGCCAGGCATGTCGATGTGGTTTCATTTCTGGATATGTAATTGCAACAGTCGAGGTGTTATATGGGGTAACGTGCAACTGAGGGAGTTAGGCTCAGCGTAAGGCTGACGACTCTTTTTTTCATGGTGAGCCACCAAGATCGTGGTTCAGCTCCACCAAAATCCTTTTTGCACGCACCACACTATCTGCTATACATTCATAATATGCAGTGCTCTTGGGCCAGCATCCCAAAGGATGCTTTGGTGCTTTGCTGACTCAGAGCTGCAAAAGTCTTCTAGACCTGTTTGACACTGAATGCCTTTGTTGCTAAGCTTCTAGCACTTGTCTTGCTTGAAATGTGTTGCATGAATTGGAGATCCTTGTCTGATGAAATGCGCATGTTCTATCAGAATTTGCTGCTTAAAGTATGCTGAGTATGTCCTCCATGTGCAAGTGGAAGAAGCATGTATGGACCAGAGAGAGTGTGACAAATCCAATATGATGTAAAATAGCCTCAAGTTACAAAACTTTTAGTGTGTGTTAGTTAATTTTTTATTTTTTTTTATCCTTTGAAAAACTTAGTGTTGAAGGGAACTTGCTTTTAAACTGCTAGGAAAAAAAAGTGGCATGAAGCCTGTTTTTGAAAGGCCAGAGTGAAAACAACACCTGTAGTGTAGGAAGCTCCTGGCTGCAAATTGCTGGAAGAGTGTTTTGGGGATGTATCACTGCAGGTTTGTGCTAGACTCCCTTTTCCCTGGCCATGCCCTTGGTTGCTGCTGGAGGTAGAGTACTGGGGCAGCGGGACCTTATGTGGGACCTTGTGCCCTTGTTGATGCACTCATCTCTGTGAGTCTGGAGATGTCTGTTCCTGCAGCCTTCTCCACCCTGGGACTAGCTTGGTAGGGGGCACTCCTGCCTATACAATGCTTTTCCCCTCCTTTCCATGCAGAAAGGATGTGTGCTCACAGGCTGAGAGACTTGATTTCTCCTTCTTTACCTGTTTCTATTTTAATGTCAAGACCATTATGACAGCCTACTGCTACAGGAAACAAAACTGTGTTGGTCCTCCCAAGCTGTCCTGGTCGTTTAGGAACAAGGGAGGCTTGGGTGAGTTGTGTAAGTGCTGGAAACCCCTTTGCTGTGCCGTGGAGGAGAGGAGGAAAACCAAGATACTGATAAACCTGAAAGGTGCTGCATGATCCTGATTGAGAAAGACAATAAGGGTCAAACATTGTCCTGTGTTCATTTTTCAGTTTCTTGGTTAAATACTCTGCCTTAGCTGCAGTAAAAAGTGTCTCATGGCTTCTTACAAAAGCAATTTCTTGCTCATTAAAGCTCCCTGGATGAGTTTGCTGCTGCTCTTCTCCAAGGTGTGCTATTTCCTTAAATCTCCTGTCCTCTTTAATCTTGACCTTCATTTTGTTTGCTGTTCTGAAGCAAAGACTGGCAGTCTGCTGACTTAGCAGCTCACATTCCTAGGAAGACCAGCACGATTGTGTTAATTTGTGTCTTTGCTGATGTCAGCAAATTTTCTTCCTTTCTGCTTCCCCTGCCTTGTAGCTTTGCTCGGAGAAGAGAAATAGCCAGCTGTAATCCTGAGACAGTCAAGGTACTTTTCCTTCTCTCTCATGCAGATGGGGAGACTGAAGCTTGTTCTCCATTGCCTTCCCAGCTGATACGTCTCCCCAGGGCTCCTTCCTTCATCTGCTCCTCTTTCAGGCTCTCCTAAGATACTCGGACCATCTCTTCTGTGGCATGTTTCAGTAGCTGTTGCATGGCCTGGTTGGTCCTTGAGCTGCAAAATGCTCATAGAGGGACTGTAAAGTGAAGCTCTTAATTTAGGAAGGAGAGATGCTGCTGCTAGTCCAGGTGCTGAGCTGCTGTGTCACCTTGCACTCACTGTGTCTTTCTCTGGGCAGGAACCCTTGAGGGCCAAGGCAGCCTCTCCTGTCGTTATTCACTGCATGTCCAGATACTTCTTTAATGCAGATAACTCTCATCCAACCCACTGGGACTTGTAGGTGAGGGAAACCAGCCCTTCCCCTAGACAAAGAGCCAGTTAAGAGCTGATAATCTCACTGTGCCTATTCAAGGATAGCTATTTGGGGGAGCTCTTTTATTTAGCACAGAGAGGCTCAGGGAATTCATAGATTCATATTCGTAGATTCATAGATTTCTAGGTTGGAAAAGACCTTAGAGATCATCGAGTCCAACCATCCCTAATCCCCATTAAACCATATTGCTAAGTAGATCATCCACCCTATTCTTAAACACATCCAGGGATGGGGACTCAACCACCTCCCTGGGCAGCCTATTCCAGTGGCTGACAACCCTTTCACAGAAGAAATACTTCCTAA